GTCCCCTGTGAATCCCTCTGTGCCCTGGGGCCTGGTCCTCCCAGACACCCTGCTGGTCTAAGTCTGCTGTCCTCCCGCCTCATGGAAACATGCCCCCGAGACTGAGCCCCGACCCTGCCCTGGGCAACATGTGCATGGCAGCAGTGGCCTCGGAGCAGTGACACTTTGACCCCTGGGGAGAGAGGCAGGCTCCTGGGGGGCTGCTGTTGATAGAGCTGAGAGCCAGTCATTATGCCAAGTGCTCGGCACACATGTGTATGACTATACGACGGGAGAGGCAGGGATTGACACACAGTGACTGGGAGGGAGTAGGAGGTTGGCCTGTGTCCCCCCCCCCACCCATGAAAAGGTCATGACCACTTGCACCTGTGAATGTGAACTTGTTTGGAAACCGGGTCTTTGCAGATATAATGGAATTAGGATGAGGCAGCCTGCAGGCAGGCTGGACCCGGATCCAGTGACTGGTGTCCCCCCAGAGGACATTTGGATGCACAGACACACAGCGAGGGGCCATGTGACAGCAGAGGCAATGTGACCACAAGCCAAGGACCGTGGGTAGCCGCCAGAATCAGGAAGAGGAGAGGAAGGACCCAGAGTGCAGCCCTGCCCACACCTTGGTTCTGGATCTTTTGCCTCCCGAACCGTGAAAGAATTCCCGTTAGGCCACCAAGCTTGTGGTGCTTTGTGGTGGCCGCCAGAGGACACTCACGTGGAAGGCGGGTGGTGGGCAGAGAAATCCAGAAGGGCTCAAGCTCGCTCTGGCCAGACTCTTGGCAGAACAGGTGGCCTCTGGATGACCCTCCGTGGAGGTAGCAGATGCTGGGCCAGGAGGGCAGGCGCTGCCTTGGCGGGATGTGGGCGGCTGGGCTGCGCGGGGGGGTACGCGGGCTTGGCAGGCCTTGCCCAGGTTCCCTTCGGGAGGGATGGGCCGGCCCGAGAGGACGGGCGATGTGTAAACAGAAGGAGCATTTCTGTGCGGTTCCTTCCCGACCGAGAACTGCGGTGGGCACACATCTGCCGGGCGGCAGGCGAGCAGGCGCTCCCCCGAGGCGGCCGCCCACACCCAGCGGGCACACGCGGTACTGGGCGGCGTCTCTGGGATCCAGCACGGCGCTGAGCACACGCAGGCCGGTCAGCCAGCCGCGGTTGTTTAGTATTTCCTTCTGTTTCATTCCAGTTGGCACGCCCAGTGCATTTTGAGTTTTCCGTAAAATAACTTTTTAAGGAAAACAGCAGAAATCAGTCCAGAGTTCTCACTGCCATGAATAATTGCTGGGTGCCGCCGGACGCTTCCGTGCCCCGTGTCGCTGCTCCGCCCGTCTCCTTCACGCCTATCCCCCTTTTCCCTTAACGAAGCCCAAATGCTCCTTGTTTTCGCCCAGTTTGCCATCAGGTCTGCAAACGGAGCGGGGCACGAAAGCTCGCCGTCTACCCTCAGCTGGGAGCGAGGCCAGGTGAGTAATAGGTGAGTAATAGGCGCACAGATGCTTACCGACGTGCACGCACACAGCCCCCTACTGCGGATACGCACGCCTGCAAGAGCGTCCCTGTCTTCATCACGGGCACACACGCACACACGCGTTTTACGGTACGATTTTTACCCTCTTGCATGATTCTTTAGATTAGTGATCACAGACCGACTCACTCATTCAGTTGGCAAATGTCTGAGTTCTGAATACGTAGATCACCAGCAGTGTCCCTAAGGCGTGTGGGGTCCTGGGAGATCGTTTTGTGTAGATGTGTCTTTTTTTTTTTTTTAAGATTTTGTTTATTTATTCATGAGAGACACAGAGAGAGGCAGAGCCACAGGCAGAGGGAGAAGCAGGCTCCATGCAGGGAGCCCGACGAGGGACTCGATCCAGGACCCCGGGGTCACGCCCTGAGCTGAAGGCAGACGCCCAACCACTGAGCCACCCGGGGTTGCCAGGGTGTGTGTCTTTGTAAACAGTTCAGATCACTCCAAACCAGCCTTTGGGCTGTTGGGGCTTCCCTGGGAGCCAGGCCTCCTCCCGTGGCATCGAGCCGGGAAGGCCTGGGCACAGCAGGGCCCAGGCACCACGGGTCAAGCCCATTCAGTGGTGACCACAGGTGGACCTCCCCTCCTCTTGTCCTCACACCTGACCCCCAAGTCCAGCTGGACTTACGGCCTCAGTGGCCCCTCAGACCCCACCTCCCTCTCCTCCTGGATGACCCGGGGTGTTGCCCTCACTGGCCTCTGGCCTCTCCGTGTGGTCATTCTGCACAGCCTCACTCTAGCCCAGGCCCCACCTCGTCCCCATCTTGCTGCTCCACCTGGTGGCCCCGTCTGCACACCCTGAGTCCACAAGCCCACCGCTCGTCCTGGCTGCGGGGCCTCCGTCACCCTGCGCCCCGACACGGATGCAGCCTCGCCAGGTCTCCGCCTGGCTCACTGCGTTCATCACCCCACAGGACCCCAGGCTGGTAGTGAGGCCGGGAAAACTCGCCGAGGACACAGGGGATGCTGTGGGAATTCACTGTGAGTCCCTAGCACCCTCACCCAGCTCCTCTTGGCCACCGAGGGAGAAGAGCTCCCCCCCAAATCCAGAGCGACCATTTTATCCTCCCCTTCCAGAGACTACAGTTCAATTCTTTTGACTTAAACGTTAAACACTCTCCTGTGGCGGTGTCGGAGGAGCAGTAGGCCGGAGCAAGGCCCCCCGTGCCGCACCTGCCCGGCCGCGTCCCTCTTCTGCCCTTCCCGGGGTGGGGGCCGCAGCTGCCCTTGAGGTGACAACACAGCAGGGCATTTCCTGCGGCGGGGGGACGCGGCGGGGCTGCTCTGTGGCCCCGGCCCAGCGGAGCAACTGGAAGCCAGTGGCTGTTGGGATGAAGTATTGTGTGTGTTTACTGTTCACTCAGCCGTCATGCAGAGTGGATTTTCCCATGTGACTTGGTTGAAGGTCACAGCCAGCGGAGGCTGTCGCGTTGGCTTTGGACAGTACGAGTGGAGGAAGCCGCAGACGGTGCCCGTGGTCTGAGCCAGGACGGTGTGGGGCGCTGGGCCTGGGGTCACCTCCCGGGTGGGAGTCTGGACGTCTCTCCTTTGTGTCTCCCGACCCTGGAGGTCAGGACGGAGCCACAGAGGCTGTGCTGGCCTGCTGCCCGGCGAGGGGAGGAGTGGGGACCAGGCGCTGCGTTCCCAGGGTGGCCCTGCTCCCATGGCCAGTGGGCACACGGCATTTAGGACCGAGATGTTCGGGGTCTATAAAGCATGCTCTCGTCCCCCTCATGTGAACAGCCGGTGACGGAGGCGTGGCCGGTGCGCAGGAAGCAGCGGCCAGCTCCATCGTGTTCGGGGACGTGCAGTGCATCGTGTGTGTCCCTGGACGGGCAGGCGGCCCTGAGCGTCCTACCCTTCACGCTGACTTAGCACTGACGGTTGCACGGTGGCCACGTTTCCCCCCAGCTTCCAGTGCTGATGCGGTCACTGCCCTGTGCCCGCCTGGGTGGCCTCTCCTGGGGCAGGGGTGATCCAGGCTCTGGGGGGGGGGGCCCTGTCCACGGCTGCAGGGGCTGGTCTGTAAGGGAGGAGACGTGCCCAGGTGGAAGGGGACTCAGGCCAGGGCCTCGTCGCCCCCTTGGGCTCAGCTAACAGGGTGCAAGTTACCCCAATACATAAACATTCTGGGGGCAGAAGGTTGGAGGAGGCATTTTTTGGGATCTGATGCTCTTGCGCCCGTTGGTAAGGTTTCCGCTGATGGAAACCAGGCTGCCACACGACGGCGGGGACTGTCACAGAGGTTCTCTCCTCACAGCCCCCCCGGATGTTGGTTTCCTTGTTCCAGGACTTGATGTAACCTCATCCCAGTAATGTGAAGGGTGTTAGAGTGTGTATACGTGCGTGTGTGTACACGGGAGTACCCGTCATTGTGGTATATGTGCACAGAGGTGTGGTTGTGTGGATATGTGTGTGTGGGTGCAGCAGCAGTGAATTCAGTAAGCCCGGTGTGAAGTCTGACAGGGCGGAGTGTGATGAGGTGGCATTCGGACCAAGTTAGCAGGTGGGAGGTGCTGGTCAGAGCTCTGCCGCTGGCGGAGCAGGTCACAGAACTTTCCTGCCAGGTGTGTGGGCCGGTGTGCGGGCTGGCGTGCGGGCGAGTGTGCGGGCCGGCGTGCGGGCCGGTGTGCAGGCGAGTGTGCGGGCCGGCGTGTGGGCTGGTGTGCGGACTGGTGTGTGGACTGAAGCACATCGCCCTCCAGACCCCGACTGAGTTCGGGGTTACTGTAGCTGAAGCTGCCACCGTACTGGCTTTAGCCGGATTGAAATGAAAAACAAGACCACGGAGGGATGTAGGACCCAAGGCCCACGTTCATACTGAAATGGATTCAAAAAGTGATGGAAAATGTCACAGCACGAAATGAATTATTCAAGGATGGAAAGTATTCAAGGATGGAAATTCTGGAATTCGCCGAGACGGACTGAATGCTGGAAGGACACTAATCAGCACCAGATGAAGGGCCCGCGGAGCGCAGATTATGCGGCGGCCTTTGTAAGCAGGCTTCCTCAGAGCGGAGCCTCTTTCGTCCCGAGAGGGGGCAGAGGAAGTGTGCGCGGCCCCGGGGAGCATGGAGGGGTCTGGATGCACGCGGGGCGCCGGGGGGCTGGGGTGTGTGCTGCCTGGATCTGGGGTCTGGACGCATGCGGGGCACCGGGAGGCTGGGGTGTGTGCTGCCATTCAGAGCTTGATGTCTGCCAGCCGGGGTTGACTCTCCCTTTATGGGCACAGGGCCTTGTCCCTAAAACAAGGGCAGGAAGAAAGGCCAGCTGTCCTCCCCTGGGACAGACGCCCTCCAACGTGCCGAGCACAGTCTGCCTGCTGTCTGAGGTGCCCAATGCCCACCTCCCTGCAAACGGGGGCCAGCCTGGTGCTGCGTTGACACCTGCGTCTGAGCGAGCCGCCTCTGGCCCCACACCTCCCGGCACACCGCCACCACCTCCCCTCGCTGCTCACAAACAGGACACGGTCACGTCCTTGTGCTCCGGGCACCGCCTGAGATTTAATTCTGAATTTACACGGGATGGAGCATCACATCACACCGGGCAACCGTTCTCGATACATCTGCGAGCAAAGCACAGTTCCTCGTCTCCCCGCGAGAGCTCCAGGGGACTCTGGGGACCCTCAGGAGCAGCCCCAGGATACACATCACTACCAAAGAAGAAGTACAGTACCCGTTTCTGTATAAGAATATATTATTTAAAAGACAGTTTAAAAATAAAAATTCTGTACAGCATCATGAATTCCCTTTTTTTTTTTTTGTATCAGTGAACAAAACAGTTCTTAGAAAACGCAGTTTTGTGGAGTCAGGCATGGAGTCAACCTCCCTGTGTGGATGGCTCCCCCGAGGCTCGGCCCGCCTGGTCCAGGACCGCGGCCTGTGACTGTCCTGCCGGCTTCGGGCTCCATCTGCTTGGAAAAGGAAAGAGACCACTGGTTTGCTTCTGTCGGGATTGAAAACGTGCAGGCGCGTTCAGGACATCACAGGATGACACGCAGACTGTGCTGGAAAACCACACACACCGTGGATCACATTGGAGCCAAATACAACAATTTAGATCCCTCTTCCGAGCTGTCAAAAAAATACGCCATAACTGAAAAACGGAAGGCTGGTGTTTACAAGCTCTTGGGGTTCCCAGCGTTCCGCTCACTTAACGGGACAAAAGCAGTCATGTTAACGGTAGTAGTCCCACTAGTTGAGCGATTGGGGCTCTGAGGCCCAGAGAGGTTGAGACCCTCGTGCGGGTCACTCAGCGCGTCCTCAGCTATCTCGTTGCTCCCCCTGCACAAAAGCAGGCCCAGCTTCCCAACCCTGCGCCTGGCGTGCTTCGTAAGAGAATCTCCCCGGTGGTGCTTTGGCTCAAAGGGGCTGGTTCGCCTTTGACACGGACCACATGACCCGCTCGTGTCAGGTGCACGGGAAATGCTCACGGCAGCGTAACCGATTCGGCATTTCCCAGAAGTAGGTTTTTACAACCTACGTGTCCTTGTAGGCCGCCCTCGAGCTCACTATCCATCTTGTGCCGTCAACCAAAGCGCGTCCCCCTTCCCTCCGAGCCTGTGTGTGACTCACTTAAAACCTGGCCGTCATTTGGATTCTCCGCCCTCCCCTCCTCCGATCCTCCCCGCCGCCCCCACAGACCTCCCCCGTCGCCCTGGCTTTCTGAATTACCATACGAGTCGAGACGTCAATTCAGAATGGCATTATCTTCGCTTTTGGTCGCATCTCCGCTTCCCTCTCTCGACGTGTCGGTTTCCCCAGAGGACGTCAGGCTCTCAGTCTTCTGTAACGGGGACAGGGTATACAGAAGGCGACAATCAGGTTCCCGGAGCCCGTGAGTGCCTGCTAGAGCACCGCTGTTGGCTGACAGCTGCCCACGCGCCCTGTGCCGAACCACGTGGCTGGGCGTGAGCCCCCTTCCCTGCTCTGGGAGGCCCCCTCGGCCGCTGTGGAGCTGGGACAACCAGCTCACCCTGGCTGCAGAGGCCAGTGGGCCGGCCGGGTGAGCACGGAGCCCACGGCCCTTTCTCTTTGGCGGGTCTGGCCTTTCTGGGGGGGAGGAAAGCATCCTGGGGGAGCCCCCACGGGGCAGCCGCACCTGGGGCCTTTCTAGTGGTGGCTCTCGGGTGGCCCAGGAGCGCCAGGGCGCTTTAGCAATCCTGCCGGGGGCCCCGCAGGACACCTGCTCGGACATTGCTCCCTGTACCATTTGCTTGTAGGCTTTGGGGTCTCAGGACCTCTCTGTGCCCCGGGAGAGGGATCCCACCGACCAGCAGGCGGTTCCTGAGCACTGACGACGAGCCTGTGTTGCACACAGAGCAGTTTGGGGGAACGTAGGAACACGGGGCACCTGGGAAATCACTCGGCGCTCAGTGGGGCGTGGGGTTCCCACTGGCAAGGTGGGGGTGGGGGGCCCATCACCGGGGAGCCCTGACTGCAGTGAGCGGTGGAGAACGGACGGCCCGGGGCGGGTGTGTGGCTCCCGACAAGGACCAGGTGTGGGCGGCAGGGACGCTGCTCTAGCTCCACCAGGGCCCCTGCCAGAGGGCAGCGGCGGGCCGAGAGAGGCTCACCCGGGGCCGCTGGCCGCCAGGCGGGGGTGGCCTGTGTGAGTCTGGGAGGCAAGGATCCCCGAAGCGACATGAGCACACACAGAGGCCCTGGCGAGGCCAGAGCGGCTCACGGGCTTTGCACAAAGCCTCTACGCCGCTCTGAGCGTGAGCTGGGCCTTCCCTGGAACCCTACCAGACCCAACTGCCACCTGGAGCCAGGCCCGGTCTCCAGGAGCCCGAGGGGGCCGAGCTGCCGTGCGCGAGGGCTCAGGGGTGCGGCTGGGCCTGGAGCTGACCCGGGAGGAGGACAGGGACCCCCGTGGGGCCAGGGCGCTGCTCTGAGGGGGTCTGAGCTGCAGAGAGACCCTGGCACACTCGACCGCAGCACGACTACGGGGGACAGCGTCACCCTCCCCGGGGCAGTTTTGTTTCTTGGGATTTCGGGGGGATGCAAGTGAGCTCTCGTCCAGAGGGCCCTGCTGCAGGGGTGCCCGCTGCCGTGCCCGGAGCGCGGAGCCTCACGGCGAGGAAGAGCGCGTTTCCCACGCGGCACGCCTTACCTCCTTCATGGCATCATCGATTTGCTTCAGCTCCTCGTAACGATCCCTGGATTCCCAAAGGGGCTGCAGCATGATCTCCTCCACCACGGGGAAGAGCTGGGGAGACAGCGGGCTCACTCACACGGTCCATCGCTCTGGGAGCAGCAGACCCAGGCGTCCGCGGAGCACGCGGCAAGTGTTCTCGGAGCCCCTGGGCTGCCACCCGCGGCGGGTTCCACGGACACCCCGGTCTGAGGCTGGCTGGTCAGCGGCTCCTGGACACCCTCATGCCCGCCACCCGCCCACCCGCCTCCGGGTCCTCTCACTGCACACGCACCTGTCCCGCACCTGCCTGTCCCCAAATGTCCATCGTCCAAACGCCAGCCTCGCTTCTAGTCTCCTGACAGCCCCTGTGGCCGGAGGAACCAGACGGTTCCCCATCTGCCTCCGCTCACGCCATCCTGCCACCCCTGCCCCCGGAATCCTGCGCACGCAGCCCTCGCCCGGTGACACCCTCCGTGCCTCCCCTGTCACATCCCGGGCCCGCTGCGCCCCTGCCCCCGCTGGCTGTGATAAAGGCCCGGAAGTCCGTGGCAGGAATGTACAGGAAGGCAAGTCCCCAGAGAAGCCGCGGTGAGTGGGGTTTACGGAACGACGTGCTGAGGGGGTTCCGGAAGGCTGGCGGGTGGCACGGGGCCGAGGCCAGCTGAACGGGCGCACTCCAAGGCGGGGGCGTGAAGAGAGGTGAGGACCAGGGGCTGTGGGCCATCCTGTAGGACAGGAGTGCCGGGGAGGGCGGGGGACTGGGTGCAACGAGGGGGGCACGGGAGCCATAGAAGGTTCAGGAGACAGGCAGAGTCAGCCTGGGGTGGTCGTGCGCCGGGTAGAGAGGGGCAGGTGAGGAGGTGCTTCTGGAGGGCCTGGGTGGCTCCTGGGCGCCCAGAGGCGAGAGGGCGAGTGCTCCGGGCCTGCTGGCGGGGGCACCTTACAGGGCCTGGCAGGCGGCCACCGCACGCTGGCGTGCGTGTGCACACGGGTGTGCTTCTCAATGCCGTGTCTTCTGGCTCGTGGTGACGGCCACTCACCTTGGTCACCGTTTCGAACATCGGGATCAGGACAAACTTGATGAACCCAATTTGGGCCGTGGCTTTGGTCACTTTGTCCCGGTCCATGAAGGGGGCCACGGGGAGGCCCTCCGACTTCTCGCGGTCGCTCTGCAGGGATGCAGGGGGCCACAACGTCAGAAATACCCGTGGGGACCCCTGAAGGTCTGAGGGCAAAAGGCGTGTTCATGTGCCAACCAGGCCGCTCGGACATAGGGACATGTCACGTGGCCACTGGAGCGTGCAGTGGGTGTGCGCGGCCGAGCCGTGAGGCCGGGGCGCAGGGGCAGGCGGCCTGCCCGGGGTCCCCCACGCTGCTGTCGTGAGTCCCTTGCTGGCTGGCCCAGCATTTTTGCACACAGGCCGGCCGGTGTCCGTCTAGGGCCCCCCCACCAGGGGCTGGACGTGCCAGCCGACCCGCTTGTTCTCCCCCACCCCCGGGGACCCCTCCTGCCTCTGTCGCTTCTCTTTCAGGCCCTTTGCCTGACGCGTCCGCCCCCCCCAGCTGCTCAACTAATGGTCGAGGCAGCAGTTTTCAACGTTGGCTTTCCCAGGCTGTCACTGGCTCTCCTACGGCACGTCGTACCCACTCACCGTGGATGTGCACCTGCTGCGAGGGCTTTCCGGAGGCTGGAGGCCAGTGACCCAGGCCACTAGCACCCTGGGCACACCCATCACTTTTCCAACACGGAGCCTGTAAAGGGGCTGAGGCGAGCAGCAGGGGCTGGTGGCTTTGGGACACTCTTACCTGCATGAAATACTCTTCTAACAGGCAGTCCACCCAGGGCTCCGCGACTTCCATCGGACGGACCTCATTGGAGATGTCACAGCATTTTATCAAAATCATCTTCAGCTGGAAGAGAGATTTGGGATCAGGCCTGGGGCACAGGGCGCGTCCCGCTGCCGCGTCTGGGTGTGCGCTTGCCGTCCCGGGGGACGGAGGGCGGTGCCGCTGGCAGTCTGCATCTGACCCCCAGCTCCACCCCGAGCACGGGGCCACCACCGCACCCCCGAGGGGCCCGAGTATGTTTGGGGGGGGTTCAGTATACGAGAGTCCGTTTGACACAGATGAGTTTCGTAAAACTTAAATTATAAAGTTTAAAAGTATCCTGTGGAGGACACACAGCCAAATACAGAAAGAAGTCACGGTTAGCACGTGGAGGTTAAAAGGGTGATGGGAGAGGGACGCCTGGGTGGCTCAGCGGTTTAGAGCCTGCCTTCGGCCCAGGCTTGTGGTCCTGGGGTCCCGGGATCGAGTCCCACATTGGGCTCCCTGCGTGGAGCCTGCTTCTCCCTCTGCCTGTGTCTCTGCCTCTCTCTGTGTCTCTCATGAACAAATACATAAAATCTTTAAAAAAAAAAAAAGGGGTGATGGGAGAATGGGAGAGACCCAATCCCACCAGCCCCTCCAGCCTGGAGTCAGGCGAACCACACAGAGGTGGAAGGCGGCGTGGGCTCCTGCCCTGTGCCCGGGGCCCACGTCTCGCCTGTGAACCAGGGCTCTCTGCCCCCGGGGCCCGGGCACCTTCTGCTCAAGCCACCACCTGCAGACGCCTCGCCTCCTTCTGCTCTGGCCCCTCCGTCCAGCCTTCCTGGCCACCTCAGCACCAGGCGGCGGCCCCAGGAGACTAGCCTCCGAGCCTGCTGGGCTGTGGGCCCGAAGTGGCCGCTTCAGGATGAGACGGGTCAGGCTGACCCCCCAGCCGGAGTGTTCCCACCTGGGCTGAAGGTGCGTGCTTTCGGGACCAGCTGGAAGGTCGGCCCCGTGTGGCCTGGCCTCCCTCCAGCACACCACTGTCCCTGGGAGTCACCGGCGTCCCGGGCCAATGTGTGGGCCACTGCTCAGGGTCTGGAGGTGACCCCACGGGAGTCCATCCGGGCACCGCAATGCGGGCCGTGGGCCCTGAAGGGACCTGGACTGTTTGCACCGGGTCTTGCAGGACGGGGGTGGGTGGTGTGACTTGGCACATCTGCCTTCAGCCCAGCGTCTGGCACAGCCCCAGCTGGACCTCGGGGTGCCTCGGCTGCCCTGTCCCTGTCCCTGGTCACCACCCTTCCTTATCAGTGCCCGGGAGGCCATCCAGGCCTCCTTTGTCTGCTCTGGGACTTGGCTCCAGAACACAGGTCATCAGTGGGTCTGCCCGGCAGGCCTCTGGGGGAGGCTGTTCCGACACAGCCTGGGGCACAGCCTGGGTAGGGCCGTGCTGCAGGGAGTTGCGCCAGGATCTCAGGCCCTGGCCACGCGGGGCACAGCATCCAGGTCTCCTGCTGGGAGCCTCGGCGGAGGCCCTAGAATCCATCTTGACCCAGAACCTTCACGTGCGTGGGCTTTCCCCTCTACCTCCTCCAGCCCGTGTCCACAGAGACGTGGGAGCCTCTGGCCGAGGCACGATCCTCTGGTCTGTGCTGCAGGCCACTGACCCTCGCCCTGTGTTGGGGGTGGACGGAACCCTGGGGACCCGGCGCCTCTTTCTCCCACTTGCTTGGACAGTTGGAAGGAGGGGGTAATGGTGTGATGGTCACTCTGTGTGGCTCATCTTCCTGATCGCTCGAGTCCGGGCAGCCCAGGCCTCCTGCCCCCAAGGGCCTCTCCTTATGTGTCGGAGGGAACACGGGTGCTCCGAGGGGGCACAGTCCACTTGTCCGTCCTCCTCGTCCTGCCGTGGGGGGCAGCGGTGTGTCCCACACCCCGCTGGCTTTTCAGGAGCCAGGCCCGTCCCTCCAACATGACCGCATCTCCCCGTGTCCTGGCCCATGAAGGGAGGGCTCGGGAGGCCTGGCTCACGGGGATGTTTTCTCCTGCTGATCACTTAGGGAAAACGCCAGGTCCTTCCCTGCATAGCGTGTTAGCTATCGGGGACAGGATGGTCCCAAGGTCAACCAGATCTCAGAGGGCTGTCCTTGTTAATCAGCTTCTAGGGAGGGAAGGTGACCAGCAGTTTTAAAAGGAGAGAGAGGGGGGACGCCTGGGTGGCTCAGCGATTGTCTGCCTTTGGCCCAGGGTGTGATCTTAAGTCCTGGGATCGAGTCCCACGTCGGGTTCCCTGCAGGGAGCCTGCTTCTCCCTCTGCCTGTGTCTCTGCCTCTCTCTCTCTCTATGTGTCTCTCACTAATAAATAAATAAAATCTTAAAAAGAGAGAGAGAGAGAGAGAGGGAGGGGCCCCTGGGTGGCTCAACGATTGAGCATCTGCCTTTGGCTCAGGGTGTGATCCCAGGGTCCTGGGATCGAGTCTCACATTGGGCACTGCCTGTGTCTCTGCCTCTCTCTCTCTGTGCCTCTCATAAATTAAAGAGAGAGAGAGAGAGAGAGAGAGAAATGCCAGAAAGCGGGCCTAACACCCAGACCAGGCTCAGCGTCACCCCTTTCCCCACAGACCCGGGAGGACATTCCCTTGTGCCTTCCTCTTTAAAGGGCAGGCCCGGTGTAGCCCGGGTGGGGCGGGCTCTCCGCGCTGGTCGGGTTCTGTGTCCCCCCTGCTCCTAGAGGGGCGAGCCCGGGAGCGGCCCTGCGGCCCCCCGACGTGCCCGCCCAGGGCTGGTGTTCAGAGTGTTTTCTGGGGCAGTGCCTCCCCGGGAGGGCCAGCTTTGTTCTCAGGAAACCAGAGCAAGATGGGCTGCCTCACCCACTCCCCACCTCCAGGTCAGAGCGAGGAGTGAGAGGGGCCGCCTCCAACGGGGGGATGGGAGATGCACCCGCTGGGGGCTCTCCAGGTAGGTGCTGTGACTGCACCCGCCTGAACCAGGCCTCGCTCCCAGGCCAGGCTGAGGGTTTGGGCCGATCCAGCGGCTTCCAGTCTGGGCTGGGGGTGGGGCTGGGGGTGGGGGCCCAAGCACCAGCCCCCAAATGATGAGGAACAAGCTACTTACAAGGGTCACGTGCTCCTCATTGCTGTAGTCAAAATTCTCCATTGTTTCTTTGAAAGAATCCATAATTTCTGCGTGTCTTGCCATGTCGGTGGCTAAGATCAATGTGATCATCCCCTGAAAGGTGAAAGCAAAGCGTTGACCCCGGGCACAGCCCCCGCATTACGCAGCGAGCGCCGGCCGTGTGCCCAGCACCCCCACCGTGCACGGCGTACTCCGCTCGCTCCTGGCGCCAGCTCTGCGTGTGTCTGAGGATCCCTGGCCTCATCTTCAGGACCAAGGAGGAGGCCGGGAGCCTCCCAGGCCGCCGCTGGCGAGTGGAGGCTGGACATTCGAGCCCACGCATGCGCTGGGAGCGAGCCTCGAATGCCGAGTCCAGGAGGAGGCCGCCCTGCCAGGCCCGCCAGGCCCACTCGCGTGCTGACGACAGGCGCAGCACCGCGCTTCCTGGTGACGGCTGGCTTCGGCCACGGACAGATGCTGCCCCCTGAATCCAGCAATCCACGGACATGGCTGATCTTTCACATCATGTTGTTGGAGGTCAATCACCGATTTTCCAGGAGACTGTCCCCTGAGGCCCCCCCCCCCCCCGTTATCTCATCTGTATGTGACTCTGTGCGTATAATGCTTGGGAGCAACCAAAGTCAGGTTGCACTGGACAGCACTGCCCTACTAACACATTTGTAAATGAGAAGGCTGTGATTTAAAAAAAAAAAAAATTCTTTTTTTTTTTTTCAAGTAGACTCAGCGTGGAGCCCAGTGTGGGGCTTGGACTCAGGACCCCGAACTCACGACTCTGGGATCATGGCCTGAGCTGAGATCAAGAGTCGGACGCTCAACTGATGGAGCCTCCCAGGCGCTCTGAGGATGCAGGGGTTTTTAAAATACACATTATTACCTCGTTCACCGAACATTGGGTCAGGAGAAGCAACATAATCCGAAACCGTGAGCATCCGTCCGTCCACCCCGAACGCATTTATGAGAACACAGCTCTGCTGCAGAGAGTGTGGTCCTTTCCAAGAAAACAGCACGACAGCCTCGGGCACAGGACTGAAGTCAGTCGACTCACAGCATGTCCCACGTCCCACGTGTTTCGGGGGAGGGGAGCATCACTGGCATTTCGAATTATGTGGTTTCTCCGGAAAGGTTTAATTGTGTTATTGGTGAAGGATCCTCCCGTGTGAGAAGTGATCCTCAGTGACAAAATATCATTAAAAAGTGGGGCAGCAAGGACGCCTGGGGGACCCCGTCGGTGAAGCGTCCGCCTTGGGCTCAGGCCACGGTCTCGGGGTCCTGGGATCGAGTCTTGCGTCAGGCTCCGTGCTTGGTGCAGAGTCTGCTTCTCCCTCTCCCTCTGCTCCTCCCCCTGCTCATGGTTCCTCTCTATCTCTAAAATAAATAAATAAAATCTTAAAAAAAAAATTGGGACAACTGGTTTTATGCTCAGAAAGTCTCATTTTAGCCTCAGCAAGTGTTCGAGGCAGGACAAGCCTCGTGTGTCCCCGTGGCGGGTGGGGATGGGTCACGCATCAAGGGGACCCTGCTGCTCTGCTCCTCCAGGTGGACCCCCCCCTCCCACAGGAGCCTCTCCGAGGGCGGCCGCCGGGGGCTCTTCGTGACTTGCGCCCTGTCCCATCTCCTCCCGACAGCACGGGGCGCCCCGGCTGGGCGGCTCCGCAGCGTGGAAGAGCGGCGGGAAAGCCCACGGACGGGAGGACGCGGTTGTGCTGGGAATCATGACTCGGTGGCGACCGGCCTTCAGCCTGCCCTGGGCTCTGAGCTTCCTGGAAGCACGGCAGGTGATGGGTGACACGGTTTATGAGGCTGTTGTCCTCTGATAAAGTGAAGCTTATCAGACCTCCAGGACGGAAGCCCCGGAATCCCGCGTGCCTACCAGGTGCGCCCCGAGGCAGGCAGCGAGGACACGGGGTTGTCGTCCGTGGCGCGGCGGAGTGTGGCTCCCCCGCACGCACGCACACAGGTCCCCAGGCTGCCGGACAAGTGCCACACGCGGGGTGACGGGGAAGCCCAGAAAGGCACCCTCTCACGGTCAGGACGCCTCTAGGGGCCTGGAGGGAAGTGTGGGCAGGGCCGCGCTCCCTCCCAAGGCTCTGGGGACACGTCCTTCCCGGCTGCTCGGGCTCCCGGCCACCCCAGGCGCTCCTGGACTCCTGTCCCTGTTGCTCCCGCCTTTGCCTCCGCTTTACGCGGCTTTCTCCTCTGTGTATCTGTCTCCCCTTCTGTGTCTTCTAAGGACACTTGTCGTTGGGATTAGGGCCCACCTGGACAATCCAAGCTGATGTTACTCAGAGACCCCAAGTACCGGCGGGTGAAGTCACACCCACAGCTTCTGGGGTCAGGAGGAAGGAAACACACAATTTCTTTGGCAGAGGGGGCTACCATTCAACCCAGCGACTCCTCCGAGAGGTCACCCTAGTCTCTCCCCTCCCCTGAAAACCCCGGAGGGTGGCACCCAGAGCTCAGCCGTCCTGCCTGGAAGCGGCCCTGCTGCTGGTGAGTTGGCGGTGTGTGTCTCAGGGCACGGGGGCTCTGTCCCCACCTCCCCAGCGGCCCTTACGTGAGGTGGGCGGTGGGGCCGGGGAACAGCGGGGTCTGCTACGGTGGATGCGGCAGGTGCGTCTGCCCAGGGCCTGCATACGCTCACCGCGCGCCTCTGGTGAACGACCCACCCCCAGAACCCGCGCTGGAGGAGGGACGGGTCTCAAGGGATCCGGTGAGATGCTGGATGAGAAGTGCAGGCCCGTGGGGTCCCCTGGACCCGTGCCGAGGGCACGCCTCCCCTTGGGGCACCACTGGCCTTGGTGACGGAGGGGTGACCAGGGGCCTCAGCCCCTGGAGAGCGGGGCTCCACCCCGCGGCGTGCTCATCACCCCCCCTCTGCGCCGTCGGAGGGCCCTTGCCCCTGCACACCTGTCTGATCTGCTTGAACCCATCCGGCTGCACGTTGGCGAAGATGTTGCACTCGGGCTGGGCGAGAATCTGGAAGGCCACGGCGCAGTGGTGGTTCTCCAGGGGCGAGATGTCGTTGTACCGGACGGCCAGCTCCGTGCGCGCGTTGATCTGGTACCTGGCATCAATGGAGAGAGCACACGGAGCCTCGGGTGCCCGCCGGGGAGGCCAGCCTGGCGCCCCTGCAGTCTCCTGACTCTCTGCTGTCCCTTTAACTAGACGCCCTCGAGGCTCTTTAATCCCACTGGCTAGACACCACCAGTACACCTCAGCTTCTCCCGGGGACGGCGCCCCGAAGGTGACCAGGCCTCCCGTTGTGTCCCTTTGCAAACATCAGCATGTGCACAAGGCAGGCACGTGGGAGGAGCACCAGGTGTGTCTCCCGTGAGAGCTGCGGCTGCCACCCCTCGGTGTGAAACGGGGGGAGGGAGGCCCGTGGCACCCGCCTCCTGGGACGAGCGTGGGCGGCCACACCATGGGATCCACTCCCGTCCGGATGGAGGCCCGCCACCAAACACGACGGTGAGCTCTCAGCCACGTCGGACGTTGCCGCACAAAGACATCTGCTAGAACAGACGCATCACTGGGGACGCAAACCAGGTCTGCACGGCCTGGACCTGGTTATGCGGGGTGGATCTGGGCCTTGCCCCTGCAGATGTGGGAGAGGGTCGCTGTTCCGGGGAAGCCTGGCCTGTCCCCCAGCGGGCTGTGCACCCCTCCCTCCCTGCCCGTCTGCGCTCCTTCTCTCCCTGGGTCCCGGCCCCCCGCCTTGCTCCCGTCGGGCACAGGCTGGGAGTGGGATCCAGAGGACGGGGCATCTTGTGCGGCATCGCTCCTGCTTCAGGCCGAGGGGAGGTTCTGGCCACCACCGGGCTCTGCTCTGTCTGTGCAGATTGCAGATGCGGGTCTGGAGCCAGGGCCCCAAAGATAACCCAGAAGGCTCTGCCCCGGGAGGCCCAAGGCCCAGAGTGGGAGCTGTGTCCCACGGGGGCGAGCTGGGGGCTGGCGAGGCCCTGGCTGACAGCCCCAACTCGGAACTGGTCTCCGTGTTAGGCTGAAGAGGTTCCCGAACCAGCGAGCCCTTGGAAGGGGAAGCGAGGGGCGCCCGGGGGGCTCAGAGGTTGAGCACCTGCCCCTGGCCCGGGGCATGACCCTGGAGTCCTGGGATCGAGTCCCACGTCGGGCTCCCTGCCTGGAGCCTGCTTCTCCCTCTGCCTGTGTCTCTGCCTCTCTCTCTCTCTCTGTGTGTCTCTAGTGAATAAATAAATAAAATCTTAAAAAAAAAAAGGAAGGGGAAACAAGAGAGACAAATCAAGTACGTACGTGTTGTTGTAGCCTGGATGGTCCAAGTCATGGCAGATGGCCGCCGTCATTAGAATCAGGATGTCCATTTGGGAAAATTTCTCCTGGATGAGACAGAGGGTGAGAGGGGGTGAGGATGGGGTGAGGAGGGGTCGGAGCGCGGCGGGAGAGAAGTGATGCTCCCCAGCAGCAGGCCCGGGGGGGTACGGGGGGTGGGGGGGACCTGCCCACTCTCTGGGCCGGGGTCAGCAGAGTGGGTGCCCCCCGCAGGGCGGGGTGGGCTGTCTTCCCAGCAGGGTGGGGGAGCCTGTACTGGGGGCTGCTTCTCTGGGTGAGGCACTGCCCACCCCCCCACCCCGGCGGAGCCCCCCAGAGACGCACCTGGAGCCTGCAGAGCCAGATCATGCTGTACATCATCTGGGTCACGCAGAAGCAGTGCCGGAAGTTGTGAAAAGGGTTGTTTCTGTAGTTGTCGTGGACGCAGAGCTGCGAGGGGCAGAGGGTCCCAGCTGCCACGTCCGCCGCCCGCCCTCCCCGCCAGGCGGCCCGGGTCCTCCTCCCTCCCCACCGTGCCAGCCGGCCGCCAGCGCTGCGGGTGCTGTGCATGACCCTCCGCTGAGCCAGAGGCCAACTGCGGGCCTGTGCTTGCTGGAGGGGCGGGCCAGGTGGCCCAGGCGGCCCGAGGATGTCCCACTGGCCACCCTGCGCCCCGAGGGCAGGTGGGGGACAGGCCTCCACCTGGGCTCATGGACTGAGGTGGGTGGGGGGCCGTCGGAGCGGCTCCCGGTCATCACCACACCTTTCCATACTTTAATATTTAACATCTAGGCTTTTACTCCTTGGTTCTGAGCATTATTTTACTTAAAATAATTTGTCGCTAGACACACCCCCACACACACATACCCCTACACGTGCCCCCCCCCACACTCACACCCACACAAACTCATGCACATGCCTGCACACGTGCACACAAATCCACACACACCCATAAGCGTGCACACACCCGCACACACACTCCCAGACTGCAACCCTGGCCCCGACCCGGTTCTTCCTATTTTCTCGCACAGGCGCTTCGGGGCACCGAGTGTTTCCGTGGGAGACGGACAGAGACAGGCCTCATGTCCTCCCAGAACGCTCGAGGGAACGTCACCTCTGGCTGCACGAAGGCCCGGGCCACCAGGAAGGGCCCAGCTGGTCCGTTCCCCAGGAACGCTGCAGAGGGACGTGAGGGGCCTGCACTTACCAGCCATCTCCTGAGCGTGATGGGGTTGATGGAGAAATCTCTGACCAGGCCCAGGTCGTGGTACATGTGCTCCAAGCAGCTCAGCATCTGCGGGCAGAGGAGCAGAGGGTGGTCGGTGGCAGGGGCATCCCGGGAGATGCCTGGAGAGCCAGCCGGCAGCTTCACCAGGCCGCTCCCTGGGGGTTGAGCCTGGCCCCCCTCCCCGGGGGCCTTGGGACCCCTAGAAGGGATGGGGTGCTTGAAAGAGCAGTTGGGGTCAGAAGTCAAGAGAGTTCCATGGAGAAGGGACAGCGATTGGTGAGAGGCAGTGCCCCCAAACGACCACGTCAGACTCGGCGAACACGGACACACGGAAGCCAGGCTGGGGTGCTGGGACACGGCACCACGGGACGCGCCCGAGAGCAGGTGCTGTTGCCGACACAGGTGAACGCCCTGTGCTAGCTGAGACCCGATGGCCCGTGTCCCCAGCACGCGTCGTCGTTCACCCCGTGGGGCCCGCTGGGACCAGACACCCACTGTAATGCGTTCATCGTTCATCGTGGGCTCTGGAAGGTAAGCCGCGTGCTGGGTGAGTTCCCGTCACCGAGCTGTCTTCGACGGAAATATTGCTCCAGTTAAAATAGATTTTGTTTTCAGTCCCAAAGAGGATTGATTGTCACAGGCGCGGTCTATTTAAATACAGCTCGGAGCCGCGGAGCTGACTGAGCCAGGAAAGAGAGAGTGAGGGATCGTTCAACGGTGAGAGTCTGACACGCGGGCTCTGCTTTCTGGGAAGTGGGTCCTGGATGCAGCGCCCAGGGTGATGGGAGACCCGCGAGGCAGGGACTGTTAGGCACAGGCTGGTGGCATGGGGTGGGACACCAGACGGCGCTCCCCGGCACCTGGGCGCCACCCCATCCATCTGCCAGCTACCTGGGGGCTGCGCGGCCCGCTCCCGGGCTGCCTTGGTCACCGTGTGACCTTCCCTTCGACAAATGGGTGTCATGGACTGAACCGTGGCCCCCAACCCGGTATGTCGAAGCTCTCGCCCCCGACATGACTGTGAGGACAGAGCGCCTTTAGAGCACCATAGAGGTTAAGTGAGGTCGCTGGGGTGGCCGTGATCCACTAGGACCAGTGTCCCCATGAGAAGAGGAGACCTGAACACAGACATGCACACAGGGACGACCACCTGAGGACACAGGAGACGGCGGTGTCCACGCGCCGGGAGCAAGGCCTGGGGAGCCCCCGGCCCTGCCCACACCTGATCTGGGACGTCCGGGTGTGAGTGAACGGGAGCTGAAGCGGGTGGAGCTGACCGCTACAGGGCCCGCCACCAGATCCATCTCCCTAGTTTCACGGTAGCGGGAGAGCTGGGAACACGGGGACGTGGGTTCTGCGCATCCAACCCCGTAACTAGAGCGTCCGCAAGCGTCAGAAGGAACGGCTCGGAGCAGAGGCCCGTGTCATCGCCAAAAACTCAGTAGGAGAACGGAAAGTAGCCCGACGCAGCCATGCGCGGGCGCCTGGGATGTCCCGGGTGGAAGGTCCTGGAAGCTCACCACACGCTCGTCTTCCCCAAGGGGACGGCATGGACGCGGACTGGATAACGGGCGGGCGCCAGGCTCTGGAGCTGAGGGAGTGGTCGGAGTCCCAGGCGCTGGCGTGGGGCTGGGGTGCGGGCGCCCAGAGGCTTGCAGCCCCGACGCCCCTTGCCCCCCGACCCGCGCACAGCTCTGGGGATCCCAGTGAGCCGGGAGGCTGCTGGTGAATTCAGGAGTCCTAGTTGGGGGTGATGGGCAGGCGAGACGATCTGGTGCCGCTTATGGCAGGTGTGTGGCAGGTGCGCGGCGGGAGGGCGGTGTCTGTGCCTCTGTTCCTGCACTGGCAGCCCCGGATTCTGGGGGGTGCGGCTGGGGGGCTGCGTGGGGCGCTGTGGGCGCTCATGGGAGAGCAGGGGCTCCGTGGCCCACAGCCTCATGCTCTGGGGCGTGGGGGGGGGTCCGTGCTGGCCCTGCCGCCTCCACACGTCGGCCAGAGGGGACAAGGGCCGGGAAGGTGTTTCCTCGTCCACGCTGTGACCTGGAGGACGCTGGCTGGGCCGGGGGGTGCCGGGTGCAGTGAGACCCCCCTCGCAGGACGAGACGAGAGCCCCCTGCCGGGGCCTGACATTCCAGGCGGCCAGGCACAGTTTTGCGGGGCCTTCACGGCCCACAGTCAAGATCCGTGCGTCTCCAGATTTGTGGGAGGTGAGGGCTCCCGTCTTTGGGCATCTCTGGTTTCTGGCCGGCTGCAGGCGGAATGTTTCTGGAAACCCTGGAACCGCCGAGCAGAATGCGCTGCCCTGAGACGCCCTGGAGAAGCCACCAGAGGCCGAGCCCACGGCGGGGAGCTGCTGGCTCTTTCGCCCCGGCCCTGACACAGCGGGCAGCCGGCCCTCTCCTCGGGGCTGCGGGAACCCCCCGACCTGTCCCTGGCGCCCTCCCCGGCCACCAGGAGCCCAGGCCCGGCGGGATTGCTGGCAGCGGGTGTCCATCTCCACGAAGGTGCTTTGCTGTCGGGGCTCCGGCTTTGCTCCTATTCCCGCCGCGCTGAAGCCAGAACGATTTCCAGGAGGGCGGCTCTCCGAGAGGCGTCTGTCCACCTTCCAGAAGCAGGAGCCTGCGTGCTGAGCCGGGCCACTGCGTCCACTCGCCGGTGGACAGGCCTTGCCCAGCCTGGGCCCCCCGTTCACACCCTGGTCCTAATAGTTGTCTTCAAGGACCTAACCAGTGTTTCTCCTGGCCACATGGCCTCCCACCCCCCGGGTCACGACCGCTGCACACTGGCCTCCTGCCGGGTCGAACCCACACTCCCGTCCTGCATGCTCCTGGGGCGCTGGAGGATTTGGGGCACACGTGTCGTCTGGCCTGGTGTTTGCTATGGGACCGCCCCTGGGATGGTCACACAGGGCACACAGGGGGGCGGAGGTGGGGCTGGGGCTTCTCCTGTGCTGGGGCAGAAGCAGGAGAGTCGGGGACTTCAGAGACCCCAGGCGCCGGCGTGCCAGCCAGTGGCTGCAACCTGCGGGGAGCTTCCTGGGGCCAGGTGCCCTTGCTGCACGTCTGTGCTACTGGAAAGCTGGAGAAGTCGTGGATTTGGTGGCTCTCAGGGCCGTGATGAGGGACTTTTGCTTTCTTGGGGTTCAGGAAGGGAGAGGTACAACTGGTATTACTAGATTACACTGAACAAACCCAAAGATGTCCATTTTAGTGTTTTCTCAGCCAAAGGGGAAACTGGAAGGACGGTCTTGCGGTGGGGGTCCTGCACCCCCAGTCCCCTGGCTGCGGACAGCACCCCCCGGACTCTCTCCTTTCACCGGCCCCAGAGGGTGTGCGGAAGGGCGTGGGGGGTCGGCCTCCCTGCCCTTGACCGCCTGCGCCTCTGCCCCGACTCTCCCTTCCCCGGCCCTGTCTCCAGTCCAGAGCAGGGGCAAGGCCCTGGCAGGTCCCCATGACGCTGGCACCGGGGGCCCCTCACTCACCTCGTTGGGCTCCCAGAGCCAGACGTCAAAGGTGGGCTTCCGGAGGGCGTCTATGGTCTCTGGAGAGAGCAGGTACTGAAAGCACAGAGGCCGGTCAGGGGCGCAGGGGCAAGGCTGCCGCACGTCCTTGGGCCCCCGTGTCAAGGACACCTGCGCTCACACTCCAGGGCCACCACGCCACACGGGTTCTGCGCCGGGCTGACCTCGGGCGCTGACAGCCTGCAGTGGCCGGTGGGGGCCCCGGGGCTCGTGGAACCTGACTCGCTCCCGCCGAAAGCGCTGTGCTCCGCGGGGCTCCACCGGCCTGCGAGCCACCTCCCACCCCGACGGCGGGGAGCACTAGTGTCAGCGAAGTCAAGGGAGGAGAAGTAACCTGGCCTGAAGGCCCACACCGGCCCAGAGCTCTCGGCGCTTCTGTCTTGGGCCCAGGCTAACGTGGCGCAGCTTGCTGGGGTGTGGACGGGGGGACGGTCAAAGTGGGGGTGTGGACGGGGGGACGGTCAAAGTGGGGGTGTGGGGACGTCAAGTCGGGGTGGAGGGGAACGGTCAAAGTTGGGGTGTGGATGGGGGGATGGTCAAAGTTGGGGTGTGGATGGGGAGACAAAGTCGGGGTGTGGATGGGGAACGGTCAAAGTTGGGGTGTGGATGGGGGACGGTCAAAGCAGGTGTGTGGATGGGGGGACGGTCAAAGTCGGGGTGTGGATGGGGGTGTGTGTGGATGAGGGGGATGGTCAAAGTGTCACAGGACATGGGCTGTGTTCCCACATGTAAGACCCGCACGGTGCTCCGGGATGAGAGGTCATCTTCCCCGGGGTCTTTTGGTTTGTTTGGTTTTATATTTACTTATTATTATTATTATTATTATTATTATTATTTTAGAGAGAGCGAGAGAGCAGGACGAGGAGCGGAGGGAGAGAGTCTCAAGCAGATTCCGAGCTGAGCGCAGGGCCCCACGCGGGGCTCAATCCCTGAGATCCAGACCTGAGCTGAGATCGAGAGTCGGACGCTCACCCAGGCTCCCCTGTTTGGTTTCCTATAAGCAACTGCAGTGGACGACGGACACCTTTCATTCTGGACGTCGGCTGGGCTGGGGGCACACGCCCTGCTCTCCCCGCCCCCACCCCCGCCGGCCAGAACTCGCTCGTACCTTGGGATACGTGGGGACATCACGCCGAGGCGTCAACCTCCTGTTGTTATCCACAAAACTGTACTTGCAGGGACAGCTGGTCCTGAAGGGGAACAGTCAAGATTAGTTCTGGTGCGGCCGTGTCGGACGTGGTGCCCGCGGGGGCCCCTCCTCCGAGCAGCACCCCAGACGCCCAAACCAAGCGCCCCACGGCCACCTCTCTTATTTGTTACGGGAGAATAAGTCGTCAAGCCGGTGACCTCTCATTGCTCACCCCCAGGGACCCTGCCTGCGCCTGTGATGGTGACGGTGGGGCTCTCATTCCTAAAAACCTTTCCAGGACGCAAGTAAAACACTGCTAAAAAAAAAAAAATTCAAACAAGAAGGAAGTGGGCAAAGTTAAAGAAGAAGAAAGCAAGCCCCCACGTTACCTACTTCTTTCAATCTCACACCCTGGAAATACCTTCTGTTAAGTGTGGGGTATCCTTCCAGAACGTTCCTAGGCGCGGACACCCAGGGACAGTGTCTTGTGCTTTTTTTTTTTTTTTTTTTTTGGATAAAAATGGAATTGTACCAAACTTACTCTTTTGCTACTCACCCCCCCGCCCCAACCTAGCATACGGCGAACGCTCCCGCCTGCAGCTTCAGTACAAGGCACGTCCCTCGGCGGTGCTCCCGGGGTGGCTGATCCAGGCTCCCACCGCCGACTCCTAGGACCTTTCCAGTTTCCCCCGGTACCTACCTTTGAGGGATGAACGTTGCTACCTGACTCCTGACTCTGTTTTCCTTCCCTTGTTAGTCTCAAGTAATTGCCCCATAAGGACAGAACCAACGGCGCCAGGGGTGCTTTGGAGGGAACGCGCCTTCCAGCATCCGGGGGTGCGGGGGGTGCTGACCTGGCGGCATGCGGGGAGCTGATGCACATGGGACCCTACCTCCCCGGAAGTGGACGAGCTCCCTGTCCTCACACGTTACCAACTTTGCGGGTCAAGTCCCATCTCCCGGGAGCCAAGGAGAAATCCATATCCTCTAAGCCTGTGGCGTCTACACATTTCAAGAATATGTTTATTTCAAGAAAAGAATTAGATGCGAGCAAATCGGTCCATTTGCTGCAGCGTCATCTGCTGTTATCAGAACACGTCGAACCAGAAGCCGCCTAAGTGTTGCAGGACGGGACATACTCTAAACCATTGTGGTATCAACGGGACGGCCGATCGTTGTAAGATGATGATGAGTGTCACGCGGAGTAAGGAGGCTTCAGGGGAAAGGGGGGAAAGATGCGCTGCACGCCGCACGGACCGAGAAAAATCTACCAAGGTTCGAGGAGAAAAGAAGGCATCGGGTGGGTTGAGGTGAGCGTGGACCGTGGGCTCCCGGGAAAGCACAGCAGCTGGATGTTGGTCCAGATTTTGATTCGTTTGTTGCTCACAGTGTTGCAAGCGAAGAAAGGCCGCAGCACAGAGCTTCTTTCCAGAAGGAGGGCTCCACACCCAGCAGCACTCCGGGCAGCTTGGTGTCCAGATCTCAGGTCAGGGGCGCCCCGGCATCCGGCCCGTCTGGAGGTTTTCCCCGGGCAGGGGCTAGGCCGCTGGCAAACTCGGAGTAATACCAAGTCTGTTTCCTTCCTGAGAAAAGGAGCCTCCCGCTTAGCCTTCGGGGTCCCGCTCTCCCTCCCCTCAACGCGGTGCCGCAGGGCTCCGTGGGCGGGGTGGGGGATTTTTAACGCGGGTCCAGCAAAACGGCGACCAACGCGCGCCGCAGACGGGGACCAGCCGGGTGACCCCGACTGCCGCCCTGTAAAGGAGGAGTCGCGCCCCGCACGTTCGCGAGCAGTGACGTGCGCTTGAGGGAGGAGACCCCACGGTCGCCCTCGCCCCCTCCCTGCGCTCAGCCCCTCCCCTGCAGACACCCACACCCACCCTGCCGCGTGGAGAGCCGTGCGCATTGCCCAGGGATGTGGGCACAAAGCTAGACGGTTCGCCTGCTGGAATCCCAGGGTCCGGGGCGTCCGCCGGGTGCCCTGCGACCCTCACCAGCACCCCCAACCCCTCACCTGGGCCGGGCGGCCCTGACAGCTCCCTCTGTGCCCCGTTGCCACGGGAACGGCATCTTCCAGCGACAGAGCAGCTGGCACGGCTCCTTTTCTTTTCATTCTATTTGGGGCTTATGTTTGCTTTCATTTCCTGGGCTCCCAGCCCCCCCTTCCCTGTGGCTCATCCGGTGGACAAGGCCATTTGGGATGAACGTGGAGACCACAGACCCCGAGCCCTCCCCGCCGGGGACGGTGGCCAGCTCCCAGTGCGCCCAGCGAGGCCCGGCCCCGGGGGGAGTAGGAGGGCGGGCGGAGAACCCCCAGGCGTGTGTCTCAGAGGAGCGCAGCCTGTTCGGGGGGCGCTGGGAGGCTGCCTGTGACCCCCCCTCGGCTGCTGCTCCCACCACCGGGAGGCCCCGCGGGTTGGTCTCGCGTGGGGGCCCACGTGGGGCAGGACTTCAGGCTCGTCGGCCTTCCGGGTGGGTACGGGGCTGCCACCCTGGTTCCGTGCGTCCTCCCGGAGAGGCTCAGCACCACCCAGCGGCTCGATGGGGCTGCCAGGGGTGCCCGTGTGTCCCCGTGGGCCAGGGACGCCGAAACGACTCTGGTGGACCCCTCCAGACAACACGTCTGTGTTGGGGCGCGCACGCGGTGTATCCTTGGCCGTCGGAGTTCACTTCTGCGTAAAGCGAAGCAAAGGGCTGTTTGTGGGGGTCACGGAAGGGCTGCCGGGCTCCTGCACCAGGCTCCAGGGTGGCCGGCGTGGCTGTGGGTTAGACTTGAGCCCAGGCCGCCAGGTTTCTTTCTCCCAAATGTATCAGCAACGTTCGAGATTTTTACCCCACTCTGGTTTTGACTGAAGAAGAGTCACATTTACCCGTCTCTCACCTACGTGGGATGCTGTGAAAACCGTCTGCTGAGAATATCGCCTCTGCAAGCAGTTAGGGCACCGGGAAGTCTTCGCTTTGGATCATGGCATTGTGAGCTCTAAAAATGTACTTTCTGGGCAGCAAGGAAGGGCCCCCCAGTCCTCGGCGGAGCCCGGGCGCCTCGGCTCAGCCCACGCGGCCAGGTGGGCGCCCGCGGGTCACGCGTCGCCGCTCGGCTCGCCGGGTGGGCCTCTCCCCGTGAGCTCTAAAATTGGGTGCGTCCTCCACGTGGGCTGTTCGACTTATGCCCCCCAAAGGTGAGAAGGGGAGTCCTAGCCCCTGGGACCTTTGGAAACAGGGTCATCACGGGCGTCGTTACTTCAGATGTGGCCCTCCTGCGGGGGCGTGGGCCCGCATCCAAGAGGACTGGTGTCCTTTTAAAGGCGGACGTTGGGCATCTTCAACGGGGTGAGGCTTCACGGGGAGCGGGCCGCGTGAAGCCGGGGGCTGTAGTCGTGCAGGGGCCGGCCGGGAGCCCCAGGGCCTGCCGACAACCTCCAGAAGCTTCGGAGCGAGGCTGGGATGATAGATCCTCCCTGGAGCCATTGGGGGGAGCGTGGCCTTGTGGACAGCGTGGCCTCTGACCTCTGGCCGTCAGAACCGAGACGGAACACGGTGGTGGTGGTTCAGGCGCCCGGAACCTGGTGCTGTTGGGGCGGCGGCGGGAAACCGGTACGACCTGGACCAAGTGAATTCTCTCCGTCTGTGGCCCGAGCGGGGGCAGCAGGGACGGCACACGCCCCCTTCCACGGGGGAGCCGCAGGGAGCCTGGGACGCCGCCGGGTGGGGACCGGCCAGGGCAGGGCCTGCGACTCACCCCCGCCCCCCGCTGCTCTGGGCGGGCGGCAGGACTTGGCCATCTGAGGAGGGACCAAAGGCCGCTTTCTAAAAATGCCTCCCGCAGGTGCTCCGTGGGCTCTGTGGGCGCAGCACGTTTCTGACAGAGGTGATGCCCACAGAGGCGGGAGGGGACTTTGGGGGCACCATCCCGCCCCAGAGACACCCCTTCGGCCCATTGTGCAGATGGGGGAACTGAGGCCTGTGCACGGAGCCTTTTGTCTCAGGCTGAAGACAAGCTCCAGTTGGAGCCCCTGCCCCGAAGCTGCCCGAGGAGGCCGGTCACGCTGGCGGGGCTGGAGGCCCATCCTCCACCCAGGGGTCCGCCCACCCCGGGCCCTGGGGGAGAGGGCGGCTCCCGGGCACAGGGCCACCAGGCCCTCAGAGCAGCGGCCATGGGCGGCCCCCGGCCACGGGCTCGGGCTAAGCGCCGGGCCTGGCTCACTGGCTCCTCGTACTCGGGCATGGGGACTGGCCACAGGAGGGAGGCACCCGGGGGTGCCTCTGTGACCACAGCCTGACCTCCTTGCCAGCCGCCTGCCCCAGCCAACCCCAGGGCTCTTCCCTGGTCCCGCGAGCGACTCTGCCTCCAGCCCCTAAAGAGCCTCTCACTCAGGGGATGTCCGGGGTGAACTACTCACTCCCAGTTTTCTGCGACAGACCCCTTCACCCCGATGTCCTCAAGTCAAATGGGATGAGACATCCCCAGATCCACGTCAGGTGCCAAGTGGGTGTGACATAAACGTGGCGCGGTCCCTGTAAGGCCCTACTAATCAGGCTGCCCTCCGAGCCCAGCAGGGGCAGCTCCACAGCTCCCCCCCTCACCTCCTGCAGGTGCAGCCAGCCTCCCCCCCCACCCCGAGCTGCTTGCCCTCAACGCTTTAAGTCAGGGGATGATCTCGCTGGCAGGTGAGCTTTCAGAGACCACCTGCAGGGCGTGCGCAGGGCTCTTCCTAGGTTCCTGGTCCCCAGCACACCCCACTGAGGCCCGGCTGGGTCCTCAGTGGTGCCTGGTGGTGCCCCGTCCTGGGAGGGAGGAGGCCACATTGTCCCGTGGGTCCTCCTGGGTGGGTAGCGGTGGGTTGGGGGTGGGGTGGGAATCCGGCCAGCAGCAGGTGTCAGCCCCTCCCCCTGCAAGCGCTCGATGCACATGCTCCTCCCTCATCCTCTCCGCCGTCAACCCGAATGCGTGCTGTGACCACCGTTCCGGTGGAGGGGCCTGCTCGTACAAGCACTTGCTTTTGGGGGGGAGGGGGACACATAACGAAGCCCCCCGTGTTTTTCCCTGATTTCGGCTCCCCTGAGGAGCACCCCTCGTTCTGCACAGTAAGTGATCTCGGCATCGAGATGGCCAGAGGCCTGTGGCATCTCTCCCGTGACCTGCTGCTCCGTGCTGTGGGGACGTCCACGCAGGAGCTCGGCCTCCGGACACCACAAGCCAAAGCCCTTTCCCTCTTATGGGGCCCCTTCTTTACGCATCGATGCCAACTTCTCTCAAGCTGGATAAGTTGATCCTAACACTTCGATCTGCAAGAGGATTGTTCCCCCGTGACATGAAGCCATCCTCCTCGCCTCTACCTACCGGACACTCCCTCTTATGCTAGGAAGGCCGTGTCGTTGACAAGCACATCCCATCCTGGGGCCAGGCTGCCTCCGTGCCGTGCTCCCCCCAGCCAGGGCTGGGTCCCAAAACAGAGCCCAGAGCCCCCTCCCGGGGCCCATGTCTGGGGGAGCTCTTCCCAGGCCCAGCCTTACCTGCTGCTCCTGGCCGCCAGCTCCTCTCGCATCTTCTTGATGTCACTCTTGCATTTCTCAATCTCCACCACTTTCAGGCCTTCCACTGGGACAAAGAGAAACAAGGGGGTTACCATGGAAACATGCAGAAGCCCTCTCCAGGCTGGTCACCAGGGGTGGCCCTGCGAGAAAACCTGGCTCTGGCTCCGGCCACGGTGCCCGCTGCGGAGGGCTGCTCGCGGCTCAGGGACGAGGGCCGCGGCATGTCCTGGGCCCGGACGCAGCACCGCACCCCTCCGTGCGGTTTCTGCAGGGCCGAGCCCCTGCTTCCCTCCCCACACTGCTGAGGCTTCCTGTACCCACTTCCCGCTCTCTCTCTCCAGGCCCCTAAGCACCGGCGGAGGACAGAGGACAAAGAAATCTCTTATCCCAGGAAGAAAAGGAGGAAGTGTGGCCGCCGTGTGTTAAAACACGAGAAGCTCAGTGGGCAAAACCCCAGCCTTTCTGGCAACGACGAACTCACGTTAATATAAACCCTTCAAAATGTTAAGGTCCCGCTGGAGCACCTAACCAGGAGAAGCTGTGGACTTCGGGGAGACGCAAACTGGCCAGGTCAACGGGGAGCAGAGCCCGGGCTTGCTCACCTTCCTGCAGCCCCAGACGCTACTGTTGACCAAAAAACGCACCGGAGCTCATGCCTCCCAGCGAGTGTTCACCTTCAAGGCGTTCACTCTGGCAGGTGCACACGGAGCCTGAGAAATAGGGCCACGAAGCAAGTGGCTTTGGAAAAGCTTTTAGGTTAGAGTCGGGTTTTTTTGTTGTTGTTGATGCTCCAGAACCACACCTCAATTTTTATGCAAAGAGATGCTACCCACGATGCTCCTCTATTCCTCTTTCCCTCAAGTATGGCCTGAATACCTAAAAATACAACGTGAACACTTGCTTTCTCAAGGAAAAACAGTCCCCTCCCACGGCAAGTGTCGGGAGAGAGGAACACCCGGCAGGTGCCTGCCTGAACCCTGAGCCCCCAGGGCAGGTCTGTAAGCATCTCCAGGGTCAGGGCCCAGGCAGGGACGGGGCTCCGTGAAGAGACTGCTTCTTTCTGCCCAAAGTGATGGGAATCTGGAGGGTCTGATAGCTCTGATGTGGTCCTGGCGACTCGCTTCTGGGCCCCCGCGGGGGATGTTGTGCAGGGGCCCCTCCACCAGGACACGGGACTGGAGTGTGGGGCCGTCGGTGCAAGGGGCTGGGACCAGCCAGGTGCAGCAGCGCAGGGAATCTGATGTCGGGGACGCCTGCTCCCTCTCCAAGAGCCCACAGCCTCCTTTGGGGGCGACGCGCTCTCCGCGCTTCCTTGCCTCGCAGACCCCATTAGGAGGCGGCTGGAAGCCACGGGTCCTCCTCCGAGAAGAGCGCAGCGGCTCGCACCCCGTCTGATTTGCGTCTGGACCTCCCGGGGCGCCGAGCCCGGGCCACACCGCAGGCGGCTGTCGGCCGCGGGGACGCTGTCCTCTGTCCTCAGCGCAGGGCAGGGGCCGCGTCCCTGGGAAGGAGCTCAGCCTTGTTGACACGCGAACGGCAGAAACGTCCGGAAAGTGGGCGGCCCTGGAGGAGTCCGGATACGTGGGATAGACTTTGATCCCCAAAGCCAAGAGACACGCAGCGTAGAGTCCAAACAGGGTGGCCGCGTCCTGGCGGCCAAAGTCCACGGTTGCCTTTACTGCGTTTTAAACATCGTTTCTCCCGAATGCATCTGATCGTTGTAGACAATGGAGGAGACACAGAACTCCTCAAAGAAGAATGTTTTAAAATTTATCTGTGGTCCCAGCGGCCCAGAGAACAACCCATTTATTCCGTACATACCGGTGTGGATCTTTCCAGGTGTTTCTCTCCCACCGCCCCGCCCTCCGTGCACGCCAAACAGCCGTCTGTCCATCCGGGGTTTTAAAAAGACAAAATGGGGATCCTGCTGCTTGCCGGGTTTCCTCAGTGGCTTTTTTACCGTTATCAGGACCTTAAGGACACGCCCCGGGTTAGCAGCCGGCTGCTGGCTCACGGCTTGCGGTGGGGGCGTCATGTTCGATTATTCGATATTGGTTCACGTAGGTCAGATTTCCAGGCCGGCTACTGGGGTTGACGTTCAAAGTAAGCCTTTTGGGCGACACAGTACAATATCGCTAGCTCGAATCCCAGGGATTCAGGGTCTATGACGACTACGCTTCTGAAGAGCCTGGTTGCCAAGGAAATTGATAGCGAGTAACAAGACGCAAAGTTGCGCATTAATCAGTGGAGAGAAAAAGCAGGTCACAGGATTAGAGGCGGGCCCGAGGCGGGGGAGCCCGGGGGCAGGAGGCAGAGCACCGCACACCCGTGGCCGCCGCTCCCGTCCTGTCCAGGCCGCCTCCGGAAGGTTCCACGGCTCGCCTTTGGCCTGCGCCAGCCCCGCTCTGCCCCCCGTCCCCCAGGAGGGAGAGGGTCCGGCCCAGGAGCGGGGGCCCACCCCGGGGAAGTCCTGCATAGACCCCGGCAACGGCCCCGAGTGAGGCTGAGTGTCAGGTCCCTACCGTCCACCCGCAAGCTTTAAACAGGTGGGCGCAGAGCAGAACCCCGAACTAGAGCGCTGGAGGGCTGCTGGAGACCACCCACGAGGAGCACCCCCCGCGAGTCTGGGGGGTCCCCTCCAGGACTTCAGGAGTCGTGGGGGCGTGGGAGGGCTCTGCAAGTCACCCCGAAGGAGAACCTCTGGGGATGATTCTCGAGGAGGGGCGCCAGCTCTGGGGAAGGGGCCTCAGGGGGCAGAGGCCACAGCGCAGCCAGGGAGGCCGCTCTGCCCTCGTCCTGCCCACCGGCTCGCAGGGCTCTCCCGAGAGGCCGCCTCAGCCGCCAAGACCCCCCTTTAGCGGCGGAGCTAAGGGAGTTGGTCCAAGTCCCTCATGGCTAGTGCACAACCTCAACACTTCCTCCAAGGGCTTCGGCAAAGCATGTGCATAAACCACACGTCCCGAGCGGCACAGAGGAAAGCTTGGGTTTCGGCCTCGAGTCTCCCGGATTGTTTGTGTGTCCTGGCATTGAACCCTGCCCCGCCGGCCGGCTGTCCCGGCCTTTCGGTTCTGGTCCAGGCCTGGGCGCGGGAGCAGGGCGCCTGGCGCCACGGCCACGTCCCACAAACAAGGGAGGGAGTCCCTCCCCCCAACCTGGGGTTTCATCTCCAGCTGGGAGGCGGCTGAGGACCTGGGTGTCCCGTGCCCATGACATCATTTCTAACCTAAGCAGGACCTCAGACTCCCTTTAATGAAGGAAAACGGCTTACGTAAGAAGGAAGGAAAGCTGCTAAAGTGAATTAAGAGAAATTCAGATGCTTATATCTGATTCAGAAGAATTAGGTTTGAGAAGGTTAGAAAAACAAAACAAAACAAACAATTCCACTCAAAACAAGTCAAGCCAGCGTAATGTGGGGTACAGACGGCCAGGTTAGCCGCACCTCCTGGAACTCAAGGACACGTGTACCAGCTAAAGCAAGGGTGCGCGCGTACGTGCATGTGTCACTGTGCTTACACCCGCATGCCTGGGAGGTGTGCACGTATGTGTGTGCCTGCCTCTACATCTTCATGTATGTGTTTACACATGTGCAAGCAGCTGCATGCCCATGTCTCTGCATGTTCACACACGCGCTTACGTGTGCGAGCCTGCGAGTGTAATGTGTGCGCATGCATGTGAGTGTGTGTGTGAGAGTCCAGGCCTCTGGACTTCGCTTCCCCATCCGAGGTCCCTGCTGTGTCCTGGACACTCACACGTTCGGGGTTAAGGAACTGCTGTGTTGGGGCGGTTTTTTGGTGCTCGCGCCGCTGGGGCTCGGCTCAGGTGAGGCAGCCTGCCCCTCTGTGCTGGGGTGCAGGGGCCTTGGAGACTGGGGAGGGGTGGCTGGAAGCCTGGTGGATGGCCGAGAGCCTGTCGGAATCATGCGCAAGTCCTGGTGGGTGTGCTCCCGCGAGGACGGGGCAGCCAGGAGGTGGGGATGCCGGCTGTGGGACGCCCCACCGATCCAATTCCTGCTGTGCCTGGGTGTCCGATGCCAGAGGCCAGCACAGTTAGTAACAAGCTGATCCCAGCGGAGGCGGCCGAACCTGCGCCCTGGGGGAGGGGCCTAATGCACTCTCCAGGTGACCCGCGTGTGTTCGCGTGACCTGTGATGTGCACGTGGGCGTGCAGGGAGATGCCGTCCCTCCGAGGAGCGAGCGAGCTTGGGAGGATTCGGGGCGGGCCCTGGCAGGGGAGAAGGTCATGGGCGCCTGGCCCCGCAGTCCTCAGTGCACACAGCGCCCGAAGGCAAAATCAAAACCCCCCTGCGCTGAGCAGCGTCTCGGTGGCCGGATGCTGGGAGCCTCGCCAGCTGAGGTCCCACAACATTCGGGAGGAGTTTCGAAAATTCATTAATGGCCTCTTGGACTCTCCTGTTTGCAAGTGGCCGCAGGAGCCGGGGCTGGCTTCTGGGGGAGAAGCGGGGTGGGGAGAAGCCGGCGCGCTGGGCCGGCGGCCACCTGCCGCCCCCGGGTGCGTCTGGGCGCCTCTGCGCTTCTGTAATGGAGATGGGGAATCAGCAGCAAATGCCCTTTGTGTCCTTTCGCCGAACCCCTTCCCACGGCGTCTGGACAATCCCCAACTTTATGGGGTTTGGTGGGAAGCTGAGCTTGCTTCCACTGCAAACATGCTCTATGGTGGGTTGACTTGTGTCCCCCAAAAGGATATGCTCACATCCCGACCCCCAGAACCCGTGAGTGTGACCTTACTTAGAGCAAGGTTCCTCTGGATACAACAGATTATGGCTCTCCGGATGAGACGGTCCTTCCAGGAGACAGGCAGAGGGGTCTGGAGACATGGAGACGCGAGGAGGGGCCGTGTGAGGATGGGGTGGTCCGGGGGATGTGGCCACAAGCCAAGGATGCTGAGCCACCGGCAGCTGGAAGATGCAGGAGCAGATGCTCCCTCATAGCCTCCAGAGGACCTGCCCCCCATCCCCCTGCGCCCCGACCTCCTGGTCTGGGACTTCTGGCCTCTAGTGCTGCGAGACAATCCTCTTCTGTTACTTTATACCCCTCCAGTTTGTGGTACTCCGTCACGACCGCCACGGGCAACTACCACCCTCCCCTGCAGCCAGGGTGTGGGTACATGGTCCTGCTCCATCCAGACTTTGGGTCTGTGGCCAGTTTAAGAGGAGCAGCCAATGTCCACAGCATGGGGGCTGGGGGGCCCGAGCACAGAGCTCTGGGTGCTGGGGAGACAGCGGGCACCTGGGGCTCAGGTACGGTATCTTCAAGGTGTCGGCTTTCCATGGGATTTGGGACCTTGCTCCTGCTGCATAGCCAGTGAGCAAGCCCTGCTCCCGAGACTTCCCAGCCCCCTGGGGGCTCCCCAAAATCCCTTAGGAAGAAGCTCCTTGTCTGCTGAATGCAGCCACAGCCACCACATGTGGGCCTCCTACCATGCCCTCCCAGGCGCCCAGGGTCCTGCACAGCTGGAGCGGTGCCACCCGGACCTCAAGTGCTGGTCCCAGTCTTTACTTTTCCAATTTGCTGGATGAGCTTGAGCAGGTCACTTAATCTCTTTCTGGCTTCTTCATCATCACTGGGGAAAATAAATCGGTTTTGAAGACGGAATATCAAATGGGTTTTCTAAATGTCAGCCTACTGAGAAGTAGGACTATGTAAGTCATGCTTCCAGTTATTAAGGTGAATGGGGGTTTTTGCATGATCCTGAATATTCTTCTTGAAAAAAAAAATCCAGGCAATTCGTACAAGATATGGGAGGCGACATTCAGTACGTCCTGTGAATACGAATCAGCCAGGAGGCATCTGGGGATGCCATGGCTCTGCCGGCCTCGGGTTTGGATTTCGTCTCGTCATCCCTGAGCTTAATAAATTCGCTGCCCTTTGCCTCGGCATTGACAAAGATGTGTGAGTCGGATGGGGAATCACGAGGCGTGAGAATTCGAGCGTTGCTCCTTATTTTACGGACGAGGACACAGAGGGTGAGACACTAAGGCTGTCCCCCTCCCAGTTTTAGCTGTTTGGCCCCTGAGACCTGAACTGACTCTCCCGGCCTTGCTGGAAGTTTTTCCAGTTGCCTTGGTGGAGACTGGGAACGAGCCGATGATTCGGCAGGCGTGTTCCGAAACCAATCGTGAAGACACCGAGTGCCTGCGATTGCCTCGTTTATGGGAAAAGAAACACGAAGATGTTCAGCACAAGTTCCTCTCCCAAGGGGGCTGGTCTGGGGGTGGGGGCTCCTGCACCCAAGGCTTCCACGTGCTCCTACCGAGCAGGTGCGGTGGCCCGAGCCGCGGCGGTCTCCTGACCTGTCACCTGTCACCAAGCGACTCTCACAGTAAAACATGCTCGCTGTTGGCGCCTCCGTCAGCATCCAAGGTCATTTCCAAGCATTTCACAAAGAGAAGACATTCACGCTTCCCTCCAGCCTCCCCTCGCTCCCCTCGCCACCCACCACCAGGCGAAGCGGTTCATTTAAACAGGAGTTAAAAGACAAGCGAGAAGGAAATGGAAAACTCACTCACATTCGACTCGCTTCTCTAGCACGGCCAGGTGATTTGCGACTTCGGCTTTCAGTTCGTTGATTTTAAATGCTCTAGGCATGGGAAAAAAAGTCGTCGTGACTCTTAAAATTCTCAAGGTGCAGTGGGCTTGGCAAACCTCTATGACACCCCTGCCCTGGGCGAGGCCTCCCGGTGGGCTCACCCTCCGCACCCCACCCTCCGTGGGCTCACCCCTGTGGGGGGCACAGACGCCAGGTGTTGCTTTTAAGGAGCTCACGGCCTCCAATGATCTCCAGGGTCTATTTTCCATAGAAGGCACAGCAGCACCATGCTGGCGGGTGTGTTTACCTCCCCACCCCTGGGCGCTGAGCACCTGCTCTCGGTGGCCGCCCTGGGGCCTCCGCTCACCACAGGGACGGCCCAGTCCTGGCACCCTGCCCTGTTGGGCACAGACCCTGCAGGGGCCCCAGTGTGCCCTCTCCGGGCTCTAGTCCCTTCACTGCGGCCACTCCTGAGCTTTAAGGGTGGGTCACCCATCTGCCCCGGGGCAGTGAGATGCCACAGTACAATTCATTACTTTGGAACTGGCAGGATAACTCGTAACAGCAAGAAACCCCACGTCTACACATGATCTCCACGGCAATACTTCTTCTAAAGCCCATTGAAGGGATCCCTGGGTGGCGCAGCGGTTTGGCGCCTGCCTTTGGCCCAGGGCGCGATCCTGGAGACCCGGGATCGAATCCCACGTCAGCCTCCTGGTGCGTGGAGCCTGCTTCTCTCTCTGCCTGTGTCTCTATCTCTTGTTCTCTCTCTCTTTCTCTCTCTCTCTCTCTCTCTCTCTGTGACTATCATAAATAAATAAAAATTAAAGCCCATTGAAAAAATGGTGTCAATTCTCATAGATTGAATCTGAGTCCCAGAAGAGCGAGTGGAGAAAAAAATCTGGGTGATACAAGCTCCCCCGCTAAAAAGTGCCCACTCGCCGTGTAGAAGGTGAGTGCTTCCCGGACCCCGTCAGAACTGGCTTAGTTACTGAAGCCATGAAAAGACTCCACCTGGAAGGCCGCTCCTCCAGGTGAGTGATGTGCCAAGCCTGCCAGTCAACACGGCCTCCCAGCAAGGGCCCACCATGGCCGCGCACAGAGATGCACCCCTCCTGGGACTATGTGTCTAGAAGATTCTGTACCTTGAGAACTGCTCTGCCACCTGGGTCAGCAGGCTCTGGATTAATTCTTCTTTCTCTATAAGCCAAAAAAAGAAAGACAGATGCAGTAGGGGAAAAGTCTGCGGATCACCGTGGCCCGAATTGGAATGTTGTGGGCAGGTGGCACCCACGGGGCAGCAAGGAGCGGCCCGGGTTACCTGGAGGGACGCTCTGGCCCACCATCAGCACGCCAAGGCCTCGCCAGGGCCCGGAGCTTCCTGTCCGCCTTCAGAGGCTCTTTCCTTCCTGGCCTGCTCCCACCAACCCGTCTCTCAGTGGTCTCTCTGCAGAGTGACCCGACTCTGGTCCTCCCGTAGTCTGCACCAGCCATAAAAAGCAGGCAGGACTGGGTCTCTAAATACGGGAAGTTTTCACTTAGTGCCCTGCTCTATTTTATGGGGGTAATTACTAGGACAAGGCGAGTTCAAGGCATATTTCACATGTAAAACACAATGTTCTCATGGCAGGTCCCGGAGAGAGGAAGCAGGCTGGGGTGAGCCCGTTTGTCTCTTTGTGGCCTGGCACGTCAACCTGGGCTGGGTGGTGGCTTCACAAGGTTCAGGTCCCAGGCTGAATATAACCTGCCAGTTTTCCTGTTTTCTGACTGGGCCTGGTGCCAGAGGCCTCATAGGAAGGTACAGACGCTCACGGCACTGTTCTTTACAGCACTCCCTGCTCCTGGGAAGGGAGAGAGCTTGCTCTGGCTCCAGGTGGCTGTTAGTTCACACCCCAAAACCTGGAGAACCTACACAGGACTTACTCCTGAGTCACGTAATCTCTGCTGGCTGTGTGCCTAGCCCTCTGTGAAAACTCAAACAAACGAAAACCAAACCAAACCAAACCAAACCTGCCCAAACAAACAAGAAATCTCAGTTATCCAGTTTGGCGATAGGGCTCAAGGGCAAAAAAAAAAAAAAAAAAAATGTTCCCACATTCTGATCTAGTGCCTCAATTTCTAGGAAGGAACGTGTGCATGCACATAGAAGATGTTGGTCAGGGTGTTATTTAACCTGGTGAAAGCTGCAACAGCCTAAGTGACCTTAAATAAATGATTGTGTATTTGGCCTGTGGAAATATATTCTGCAATCAGAAATAATATTTTGGAAAATATTCATGTTTTTTGTTAAAGTAAAAAAAAAAGACAGAGATTGTAAAACCGTAATAACAGCGTGATCTTATTTATGAAGACATTGGGAAGATGCACTCCAGAATAATGACAGTAATTATTTTTTGGTTGTAAGATCATATACACATTTTTTAGTTTCTCTACATCTAACACATTTTCATAATGAACATATGTTAATTTCATGAAGCATATTTAAAAACCAATCCTTCTAAATAAGCTTCTTGAGACTCTCATCCTTTCACTTGCCAAATGGACCAGTGATGACTCAATGTTCTCTCTGGCTTTAGCATCTGAGGACTGGGTGAGAAGAAGGAAAATGATGGCTTGTATCTCCTGAAAGTATAAGAGTAAATCTATCACAGAGCCCGTTGTGGAGCTGCTGGCTGATCCAATCCAAGGCCCTGTCCTTCAAGGGGACCTGCACCCATACCAGAGAAGAGAAACAGTGACTCCACTGACAAGAGCCACCAGTGAGAAAGTTTCACGGTCCTCCTTGGTGAACTCAGCAGGATTTTAGATCACTCATTCTGAATCTTAGGAGAAATAATGTATCACATAACCTTTGAGAGCTAATGATCTTAAAGACTTGACATACGTTGAGAAGTCCATCAAACAATCAACAGACCACTCCCCCTAACAACAGCAGAACACATACTCTTTTCAGATGCCTAGGAAGCATAGACCAAGACAGAGATATCCTGGATCACACAGAAAACCTCAACAAATTTAAAAGAAAACCATGCAGAGTATGGTCTGGGACCATAAGAGAATCCAATTGGAAATCAGTAACAGATCATAGGAGAATCTTGGAAATTAAACAATACACCTCTGAGTAATTCATGGGTCAAAGAGGAAGTTTCAAAATAAATAAAAATGGACATTGAACTGAATGAAAATGAAAATAAAATACACCCAAACTTAGTTGTGAGACATAGCTAATGCAGTGCTGAGAGAGACATTTATAGCAGTAAATGCCTACATTAGAAGGGAGGAGAAACTCAACTCCATAATCTAAGAGCCTAGAAAAAGAAGAGCAAAGTAAATCCACAACAAGAGCAAAAGAAGGGGAGGAAGTAATAAAACCAGAAATAAGTGAGAAAGAAAACAGTAAAATAATGCAGAAAATCAATGAAGCCAAGAGCTGGTTATTTAAAAATATTTATAAATTGATAAATCTCTAGCAAGATTGGCAAAAATACCACAGGGAGAAGACACAGATTTGCAATATTTGGAATGAAGGGGGGATAGGACTACAAACACTGAAGGATAGATAATAAGGGTCACTGCACACAACTTTACACACATAAATTTGAAATCTTGGGGAAAAATAGAGCAATTTCTGGAAAAGCATGAACTACCACATTCACCCAATAAGAAATAGGTAATTTTTAAAAAATATTTTATTTATTTATTTATTTGTTAGAGACATAGAGAGAGAGAGGCAGAGACACAGGCAGAGGGAGAAGCAGGCTCCCTGTGGGGAGCCCGTTGTGGGACTCGATCCCTGGACCCCAGGATCATGACCTGAGCCAAAGGCAGATGCTCAATCACTAAGCCACCCAGGAGTCCCTGATATAGGTAATTTGAACAGCCTAAAACTATTAGGGAAATCGAATTTGTCATTTTAAAGCTCCCCCCAAAGAAATTTCCAGGTACAGATGGTTTCACTGTACCATTTGGAGAATTCCACCAAACATTTAAAGAAGAATTAACACATTTCTAAACAATTCCTTCCAGAAAATAGAAGAGGAGGGAACACTTTCCAATTCATTTTATGAAGCCAGTATTAACTTGATACCAAATCCAGACAAAGATGATAACAAAAAGGACAGATCTTTATTCCTCATGAATGCAGATGCAAAAATCCTTAACACAATATTAGAATTCAGCAAAATATAAAAATGATTATACATCAAGATTAAGTGGGGTTAATTTGAAGGATTCAAGGCTGGCTCGATATTTGAAAATCAATGAATGCAATCTACTATATTAACAGCTAAAGAAAAAAAACACAATCATATCAATTCATTAAAACATTTGAAAAAATATTTAACATCTGTTCATTTGGTAAACTCTCAGAAAAGCAAGAATAGAGGAGAACTTCTTCAAGTAGATAAAGAACATCTACCAAAAACCTGCAGCTCACATTATACTTCATAGTGAAAGACTAAATGCATCTTGCCTAAACTGTGATGAGGCAGGGATGTCTGCTCTCACTATTCTCATTAAACATTGTGCTAGAAGTTCTAGCCAGTGCAACAAGGCAAGAAAAAGCAAGCAAGCAAGCAAAAAAAAAAAAAAAAAAAAAAAAAAGAAAGCAGATTATAAAGGAAGAAATAAAATGGTCCCTGTGTGTCAATGACATTATTGTCTACACAAAAAATTCCAAGGCACTTACAAAAAACTCTCCTAGAACTAATAAACAAGTTCAGCAGGCCACAGGATACAGGGCACATATACAAAATTGATTGTATTTACATATACTAGCAATGACCAAATACTGAAATTAAAATTACAATACCACTGTACAAACACTAAAAAAAAAAAAAAACACCTCAAAACTAAGATATAAATATAACAGAACATAACAGAACTACAAAACACTGATGGGAGAAAAAAAAAAGATAGAAATAAAAAGACATACCATGTTCATGGTTTGGGAGACTTCACATAGTAAAGATGTCAATTCTCCCCAAAGTGATATATGGTTTTAACATAATTCCTAGTAAAACTCCAGCAGGATTCTCATGGAAACAGATACAATTATTCTAACATTTATATGGAAATGCAAAGGAATTAGAATAGTTAAAACAATTTTTAAAAAGAAGATAAAGGGGGTTGAATCAGTCTATCTGATTTTAAGACCTTTTATAGGCAGGCCTTGGAGATACCACAGATTTGAGTTCAGACCACTTTAATGAATTCGAATATCACAAAAAACTGAGTCAAAATGAATTGTTTGGTCTCCCAGTGTATATAAAAGTTATGTTTATACTACACTGCAGGGCATTAAGTGTACAGTAACATAATGTCTAAAAAATGTACATACTCTAATTTAAAAAGATACTTTATTGCTAAGAAATGCTAACTATCATTTGAGCTCTCAATGAGTCCTGATCTTTTTGCTGGTGGAGAGTCCTGCCTCCATACTGATAGCTATGGACAAATCAGGCTGTGGATGTTGAAGGCTGCGGTGGTTGGCAATTTCTTAAAATAAAATCCACAGTGAAGTCAGCAACATCCACAGGCTCCTCCTTTCATGAAGGATTTCTCTGTAGCATACAATGCACTTTGGCACCATTTTGCCCACAAGTAGAACTTCTTTCAAAACTGGAGTCAATCCTCTCAAACCCTGCCTCTGCTTTCTCAATGCAGTTTACGTCATATTCTAAATCCTTTGTTGCCATTGCAACGATCTTCACAGCATCTTTACGGAGAGTAGATGTCATCTCAAGAAACCACTTTCTTTGCTCATTCATAAGAAGCAACTCCTCATCTGTTAAAATGTTATGAGATTGCAGCCATTCAAATATAATAGTAATGAAAAAGTTTGGGCTATTCCAAGAATTACCAAAGTGTGACACAGAGGCGGGCAGTAAGCAAAGGCTGTTGGGAGAATAGTGCCAACAGATTTGCTTGGTGCAGGTTTAGCACAAACCTTCAATTGGTGAAAAAAAACCCCAATATTTGCAAAGCCCAATACACCATGGTAGGCTTGTACACAGCTACAGTGTTGAGGCCTGTGTGATGTGACTGGAGGGGTAGACATGGATCTCAAGGAACAGAACAGAGAACCGGAATGGTATCCATACATATATGCCCAGCTGATTTCGGCCAGCACGTTAAGGTAACGCAACGCACGAGTCTTTTCAGTGAATATGGGCCAAATACTCCTGGCAGGACAATGAAACTTGACCTAAACCTCACAACTCATATGAAACTTAATGCCAAATGGACCATGGATGTAAAATACAAAACTATAAGGCTTTTAGGAGAAAAAAATAGGAGAAAATCTCCAGGTTCTTGGGCTAAGCAGAGTTCCTAGGCTTGACATCATGAATACAAGTCATAAGAGGGAAAATGGATAAACCGAATTCCATGGGAAGTAAAGCTCTTGCTCTGAGAAAGGCCAGCGAGAGGATAAGAGGATGAGCTACGGTCTTTGCAAGCAGATCCTTGCAAACTGCATCTGACGACTTGAATATAGGGCATGAAAAGAGCTGTCAAAACTCAACAGTAAGCTCCATGAAATACCTTCTGCAGATTAAAAGAAAACAAACACCAAAAAAAGTCCCTCAGTGGTAAAAAACAAAACAGCCCAATTTGAAAATGGGCAAGAGACACTAACAGACATTTTTTTGAAGAAAACACGCAGAGGGAGAGCAAGTGGGTGAAAAGATGCTGAGCATCGCGGGCCATCAGGAGACGCAAATTAAAACCACAGTGGGGATCCCTGGGTGGCGCAGCGGTTTGGCGCCTGCCTTTGGCCCAGGGCGCGATCCTGGAGACCCGGGATCGAATTCCACATCGGGCTCCCGGTGCATGGAGCCTGCTTCTCCCTCTGCCTGTGTCTCTGCCTCTCTCTCTTTCTCTGTGACTGTCATAAATAAAATAAAAATTAAAAAAAAAATTTATAAAAAAAATAAAACCACAGTGAATGATCACGGCAGACTTGTCAGAAAGGCTAAAATTAAACGACAACTCCCCCCCCAAAACAATGACAACCCCAAAGGCTGGTAATGATGTGGAGAAACTGGACTGACTACTCACACGTTGCTGGTGGGAACGTGCATGGCTTAGCAAGTGCACCCCAGAGCAGAGAGATGAAAATTTAGGGTCACACGAAAACCTGCACAGGACGCTCAGAGCACCTTTATTTGCGACAGCCCCAAACTGGAACAACTCAGAAGCCCTTGGATGGGCGACGGGCTAGATGG